GCGATGAGCTCACTGTTGTCTTACAGACGCCCTGTACATTCTTATGGAAGATGGTTTCACCTACGGGAATTTGATGTTTCCCATGTTTCTTGCGTGAACAGCCTATGTCCTAAACCAGATTCGGATGTTTGGTCTTCCCACTTGTGAGTTAAAACCACCTGCCGGCACAGTTAAATAGGAGCTGCAGCTTATTCAATTGAGTTCGATGAATTCATCGTAAAAACCGCCTTTTCATATAGGTGGGCTACTGGTAGTTCAATTCAGAGGTCTAGCCAAAAACCCTGATTCCAAACCAACCAAGAGGTGTATGAAACATCCTCCCGCTTGTGGTAGCGGTCACTGGCTCAATTTGGTATCGAGGTGTATTGGGCACCTTGAATGTTTGACCCTGTCCGAAGGGCGTAGGATCCGATGAACTGGACACCGGCTCCCAATGGACTGAGGTTTTCACACACACCCCGCTGCCTTGCGGGTCAGGTTTCCGCTAGCCGAAGGCTTCAGTTATGGACTCCCCAAGGAAATTCATCTGCCTTGGGCTGGGCAAACTGACGGTATTCAGCCCAAATGCTGGGAACGGAGAGTTTTCCTTTTTATTTAGATTATTGTACCACGATGCTTGGCACAGTCTGGCTTCAGACATGTAAGAAATATAAATAAGATATTACCTTACGCGGTGCACTGATAAGCAAGCTCTTTTTAACGATTCATCCCTTCTGAAAATTGACTTGACACTAGAGACTGTGTGGGCTTAATCGACAGCTGACAGGAATCCCAATTGTTTCTAAGGCTAGCTTTGCCATGCTGCATATGTGCTCCACAGACTTAGAGCATTCCAATGGTTTATACTAACCCGCCCGCACGGTATTCCACCCATCGTCCCCAAAATGTGCTCCCTTGGTTAACTCCTCTTTTACGCCGTCTTTTTAGTCCTTCTCATCGACTTTCTACTTTTCTAACACCATGGAAAATCGGTGACCATTCTGACCCCAGCACTTACCCACCCATTTCCTTCGTCCGTTCGAAAGTAGTTGAAGCCATCATTGATCAATTACGTTCGTTCCCCAAATGCGAAGGACTACTGAGTGGCCGCCAGCATGGATTCCGGCGCAAAGCCGATATGTTACTTCGCGCCGTACAACTCCACCCAGCTCTTCTTCCACTGTATAAAGCTCAAATCCACCGTACCCTTGAACGCTGTAGTCACGTGTGGGGTGAGGTTTCGTCTTTATCACTTTCTCTTCCTGATCGTGTTCAAATAAAGGTCATCCGGTTAATCTATGATTCGTCCCCAACCTCAAATATGAAATCACTAGCGCATCGCCGGGCAGTTGATTCATTGTCCCTGCTCTACCTTTACTATTGTTTTTGTTCTTCGCAGATTTCCTCAGCAGTTCCTCTTTCTGTAAATTTTTCCCGCCCATCCGGTACACAGGCATCTTGTCATCCGTATCAGATTTCGGTCACCAAATTTCATACTTTCATCCTTTCTTCACCGAATGGTCAGGCTGCGAGCACCCTTTGACTTTCTATCTTTCCCCAGACTTACAACCTAACACTCTTTATTACATACTTTAGTGTGATGAACAGCAAGCGGGGTGAATCTTATAACAATGAAAACCTGTTATTCAGTGGTGGAAACCGGTAATCCAAACACCGGAACTTGGAGAGGTGAACCACATAGGGCCGGGCTAGGATAGGCGTAGTTGTACGACTAACGCTATTGTTCATGAAGGGCAAGGGCTGGGTATAAAAGACAATTTAAGTGAGATCGGAAAGTCTGCGAAGAGAGCATAGATTACTATTCACTCCGTTTAATGTAATAGACAACACGACTCTGATAAGTATGAGCGACGACCAATGAGTTAAGGAATTCTTTTAGTTTGTTCATTGGAAGTGTACCGACGGGAGCTTCCAGCGAGTCAAACCACCAGGCAGGACAACGATTCGAGTCCTAAACCGTTGCTTCTCGTAGGAACTTTGAACCAAAGACAGCAAAACACGGTGCATTAGAAGTTTAACTACTTCGATCGATTGCTCAATCATCCTTTTTCCAGCAAGAGACGGCAACCAGAGTCGAAATTTAACCCGGAAAACCGAGGAACCAGACTTTGTGTAAACTCGGTTTGACAAGAAATCGTGGGTAGTTGATCAGGTCACAGAAGAAAAAAGGCATCATCACATCATGGCCCTTCGAGAGACAAGGCAGTGCGAACAAGTGTTCTTGAATCTCTTATTCAAATCATAAAATGGCAATGAGTTTACATAAGGACAGAAAAAAGGCAATAGCAAAATCTCAAGCGGAATCATGTTCCTAGACCGATTAGACACCTGTGGATCCGTACCCGTTGGCTCCACGTTGAGTTTCGTCCAGCGATTCGCACTCCACTAGCTCCGGTAGGTAAATGCGCTCACAAATCAGCTGAGCAATACGATCGCCCTTTTGAACCTGGAGTAGGTGACAAAATACCACAGCAACAGCAATCAGAGCCCATTCAAGTCGAGAAGATTTGAGAGAATGCTTGCACCTGGTTGTTTCAAAAGGCCAAATTCAAAAATGAAAACTGCAGGTGATATAACCGTTGAAAAACGTCTTACTTAAAAAGTAATGTGCTAAACAGTTCGTTTGAGCAGAGAAACCGACGTCCGTTTCGAAAATTACAACTGATGCACTAGTCATGATGCTTCAATCTGCTATCCACCCAAAAGGAAGAGTCTTAAGAAAGACCGTGAGAACTGGTGGGC